TAAAAGGAAATATATAAAAAAATCCTGAATTTCCACTAGTGTTACACACGACACATTTTGTCTTAGCATGTCATCATCCCTATTTTATCCATCACCCCTCAAAAATGTATGAAATTAAATGTAAAATGCTCTCTATAAAATCATCATTGCTCAAACAGACCATAATTTTTATAGCCTTCAATATTGTTTTGTTACAGAGCTATCAAAGAGAAAAAAAGACCCCTCCTGCCACATCCTCTCTTTCACAATTGGTTGATAGTTCTCTCTTACCTTTCATTATACATTACTTATAACGAATAGAAAGTCAAGGTTTTCATCTGTCAAATGGTGTATTGTATAACACAGTGTTTTAAACAGATAACCATCAATTTCACTCTGAGTAACAACATCGTTCCCATGGAAAAGTTAACGACTAGCTTGGATGAATTTGTAAAGGCTCTTGTCTCATAGTTAGAAAGCAAGGAAAATTTTTAGTAGTAAGTGAATTTGTCTACTTTTTGCAAGTTATTAGTCTATATTCTTTGGTGTATTATTTAAGTAAATAAAAATTGTTAAGTGCTTTAATATAATCGCTAAAAAAATAAGGCTTAACTCTACTCGACAATCGAAGGCAAGAAAAAAGAAGATTGTGTAAGTACTTTATTTCTTGTTTTTCATATTTATTCTTTATTTATTATTATAAAAGTAAATAAAATCTAAAACTACAGACCATCTTAAGTTATTCATGACTAGAATAGGTAAAATAAGTAATAATAATAATAATATAATTAAAATTGTTCACAAAGCATGCACTCGAGCAGCTCTTGGGTAATGTAATTCAATAGCGTAACATGAGCTGCACATTCCCTGAGTGATTTACAACTTATAATGGCACGGATAGCAGTTAGACATGGTTCAAAGTGCAATAAAATAATAATATTTAATTATAAATAGACGTATAATGTTACAAACTTAGAGCTACTTAGGATAAACAAATGTAGTTTCAGGTTACAATCTGAAGAAAAAAAGAAGGTTAATTTAGGTTTATATGTCGATTTTTTTTTGGTGGTTATGAGGTTATTTGAATTGACTAATCCAGTTTTGAGATTAGGGTAGAGAAAATAACATAAACTATAAGGATTTAGTGAAAAAAAAAAACGTTTGAAATGCATTTAGGAGGTTTTAGGGATTACACAAAAGAAATTTGAGATTTTTGAGATGATGAAAAGTATTTTTAATTTTAACATGAAAATTACTTTGTACACGGACTATTCAAAACAAATACTACTAATATATTCATGGACAAAAGTTTATTTTATTTTATTAGAAATACTTCACTAAGAAATATGACTTTTTGTATGTGAAAGACTTGTAATATTAACTGAAAGACTGCCAAACTTTGTGAAGATATACCCAATATAAAAATAGTTATAAGTATTAAATTTATATCAACTTTAAATGAGTACAAAAGGTCACGTGACTCGGTTACTATCTTCTCATAATATTAAAATAGTACTTGCACACATAGGATAGGAAAAAGCTACTTTCAATTCCCAAAGATAAAAAAAAAACATACCGTTTTTGATGGTAATAGTTGAAACAATGAACTAATTGAGCGACCATCTTGATCAGTTGCAGTCATAACAGCTGTAAACAATTCTTCAAATGGATTATCTTCTTCATAGAAATCTCCTTGATTTGACAGTGTATCCTATTGCAAAATATCTCAGTTTTAAGGTTGGAATACAAGAATTTTTATAACTATGAATCCAAAAAGAATAAATAACTGACTTGACTTTAACTCTCTAAAAGTGAAATACAAAACCAGAATAAATAAAAGCATATTCCAAGTAAGCCAAATTCACTATACACCTCACTATAATCTGAAGTGACTATAATCTATAAGACTGAAGTGTGTCAAACTTTCATTTTAAGCTCACCCCTTTTTTTATTTGTATATTAAAGTAAAACTTCACCAAAACCTTTTGATAAAAGTAGATTGAAACAATACATAGATGTAAATTTATTCGGGTAACAGAAAAACATGCTACAAAAATATAAAACACTTTCTAGTTGCAGAAAAATAATTAGAAAATATATATACATTAAAAATATAACATAGACTTACTGTTTCAGACTCATCTCTTCTTTGGTCTCCAGCTATGGATAAGAGCACATCAGTTTTGTTTCCATGTAAAGATCATACAGATCACAAGCATCTTTGTATTCCTGGGTTGATTTCTGAAAGTTTTATTTATTTTATATTTGGTATTTCAAACCCAATTCATCTAGAATAATCTTCTACATGAATTAAAATATACTGTACCAAAAATACTTATATTACTATTGTTAAAATGATATCAAAATCAAAACAACAACACATTATTTTCTAAACAATCACAGTGTCTATTTAAACACTAAAAGGTGTCTTTATGTAAATAGTAATTCCAAAAACTTTTTTGTAAAAGAAAACTGTTTTTCAAACAAGTATGGTCTCATATAAACAGAAATGGTTGTTTAAGTCTTAATAGTAGGTAGCTCAATAATTCAAACAAAAAATACTTAATAGCACCTGTCAGGTTATATGTATGGGCCAAATACTTTACAGTTGGTGTCTGTGACTTGTAGACAATAAATTTCAACAATATACAAAAGCAAACAGTCCACTTGTTTTAAAATAATATATATTAAAATAAGTCAAACACATATATACAAATGTTCGTTACACAGTTAATCACCACAGTTGTTTTCAGAGCTTTAAATAATCATCTCTTCTCGTCAAAGTCTACACAGGCTGGTTCAGTTACTTTAGAATACAATTGACAAAACCATTTTATTCTTCTCTGCTGTTATTACAATACAATCTATGATAAGTTCATTTACATTACACATTTGGTTACCACAGTTGTATCCAGATCTTTAAATATTGTCTCCTTTTGTTAAAAATCCACACAGGTTTGTTTAATTACTTTAAAACACAATTGACAAGACAAATTGTTTCTTCTCTACTATGTTATTACAATACAATCTGTAATAATTCATTTCATAATTGTCAATATACGCTCTTTATGGCTAAACTCACAAACACACAGTCTAGATCTATTTGACTATACCTCTCACTAACTTAACTTGAACTACATTTTGGACATGTATTCATAAATAACTCAACTGAGACCTAGAACTTTACACACTCTATGAGATGTTATGATGTAATTAATAATTGATCAAAAAAACAAGAAAACTTAAAAGGTTCTAGTAACATGATGCAATAATACAAGTGCCAAATCACAACAATGGAACTACACAACATATGATTCGTACACAGTTACATAAACAAACCTGTAATAAACTATCACTTCTAAAAATAACCAAGTTTAATACTCATACTATACTTAAATTAAAACAGCTGTGTATATCTAACAGCACATCTTTGCAGCAGGGAAGTAGTAATCTAAGTTCATGTGTAGGGTTCTAAAAATTTCCTCTCAATAAAGATCACAATTTAAAAAAAGTCTAGTGTCAGGATTCTATGTAATAAAGCACCCAAAATATTTTAAATAGGATATGACACTGCTAACTCCAGTAACCTTTGTTACAAAACCTTTAAAGCAAAATAGTGAGAAAAAAAAATAGTTTGCTTGTATTTTAACATCAAAAACCATATTCCATCAATTACCATTATAGCTTCACTGAAGATTAATAATTAATTGAAATTTCATATACACTAATTAAATAAAAAATCAAATATGTATAAATTATTAATTGATATACAATAGTTTCTCATATTTTCCAAAATATTTATGCTAACATCCTTTACTGTGGGTGACTTAGGGTAAGGTTGGTTGTGGAACCAAAATTAAATTATTAATTTTGTTATGCTAAGGAAGCTTTTCATCTTTTAAGTCATGATCAGTATCAGAGAATAAAATATTTCAAATTAATAGTAAAGTGGTGCTTCATTTAATTATGAGTGGAGTTCACCACATCCAAAAATACTGCATCTACACATAGCTAGTTTATGTTACTCTTAAACAGCTTGTCTTTATGAGAGAGGATTGTTTCATTGTGTATAAAGATCTAGTTAGTGTTGAATGATCTGCTCACTCAGCCAAATGAACAAAAGAAACTTCACCTAAAATGACAAGGGGATGAATAAAATATAATAGTAAGAACACTGTGTATCAAAGAAAAACAAAGTCACCAATGAGAAGTTTTTGTACATTTAATTTGTTCATACTTCTTCTAAAGGACTACCCAATACTGAAAAAAAAAACATAGATAATTCTGTTTTTTTTTATCCAAAATTGCAGGCCTAGAAATAATAATTCAAAGTTGTTCAAACTGCATAACAGATTTTGTTTAAAAAATTGTCAGTAATAATAATAACAATAACAGAAAGAAAAGTAAACTTTTCAACAATGTAGCTCTACAGTTACTTGAGATCAGAAAAAATAGTTTCACTTTGGACTAATAAAAAAATAAAATAAAATAATAATAATAATAAATGTAATCTTTGATTTGGATAATTCTATGTATTAAGATTTTGTTTGTTTTGGTAATGCCGAATGCACAGAGAATTATCACTTAAAAAACTTGCAATCAATATGTTAAATACAATATACCTTACAATACTGAAACAAGTCGTACATAGTGGTTAGCATATGCCATCATGCAGATGTGTAACAGAGTAACGAGTTTACACAAAATAAATTTTATAAATTTGACTGTGCAACTAAAAACTTTCTCACCAAGCACAAAGTTTTTATTTTTCAGCTGCAGAAAAATCTGCAAGTTTTGAATAACATTTTATAAGTTACATGGGTAGAAAGAAAAGCTATAAAGGTTCAAACAAATAAAATATCAAACTATAAATTTATCATGAATAGATTACAGGTTTTATGAAGTATCTGCTGTTTTAAAAGCCATGCCTACAATACCTTTTTTTTTCTGATTGTGACTGCTAACATATTTTTGGGCTATCTGTGTATTATAAATCTACTTAAACTCAAATATTTTTTTATATGTTACTTAATTTAGAAAACATCTTTTTATTAGAAACAATTTTCTTAAATCAACTTTGTACAGAAAGTTGAATAATGATTATTGTTACAATGCACAAAGTATGGAAGGTTGTCACTTATCTCTGATAGCTTTATCAAAAAATGAGTTATGTTACTCTAATAGTACAGCCACTAAACTGAAAACTATAGCCTTACTAAATATTCTGTACAGTATTTGTGAATTCGAATACATTAAAATTTAAACTTTTTATAAGAAAAAAATTGAGAACTAGAATCATTACAAAGAACTTAAGATAAATTTCTCAAACCTTTCCATGTTGTTATGATTAGTTATTTTGACTAAAATGACGAGAGTAAGAATGTATCAAACTTGTAAGCTGCAGGTGTAGCATTTACTCAAAACCAAACCAAACAGTGCAAATATACCTTATACAGTAGTTACCTTATAGTAAGCCTTTGCATTATTCACCATAAGTTCTATATCAGCCGTCATTTGCTCAACTTCAGTATATTCTTCTGTTTTCAATTTCTGCTGGATTTTTAAAAGATCCATTGGTACACTGACCACATCATAGTAATCAGCCAAGCTCCTGAAAATGAAATTGTAAACATTAACTTTCTAACCCTTTTTCTTTCAAATCATGTGTCCTAAATTTTACTACACATTGTAAGAAAGTAAAAGTCAATTTCATTAATTAATATCTTGAACCTGTTACTTTTTGATCAGAAGAACCAAGTAGAATAAAGTGAGAAAGTGCAAGAAATGGCAAATGCTATCAGAAATATACATTTAATTTGACAAATTTAACACTTCAAAATTATAATCAAGTTGAAAAATATCTTAATCATTGATTCAATCAGATTTACCAAGTGCTGCATTGTGTGGGCCTACAAGAATGGATACTATTCTTTTGAGGTCACTTTTCTCAGGGTGTAAAACAAAGTCCAAGAAACCCCATCACAGATGTTATGTGACTATAAAAGCCTTCAGCTCCTGCACCAACAAAACACTGATGGTGCCACAAAAACATTGGTTAATAAGAATTGACAGAATACTCTATTTATAGAGAAAACATTTTACTGGGTACATATTGGAATTGGATCCCTACATGGAGAAGTTTTACTTTCATAAAATCCACCTTTAGAGTTATGCATGGACATATGATTCAGCCTGCTAAAGCCAGGATAATAACAAATGTAAGGGATAATAACCTTCAGATGGTTTTGGAGAATTAAGTCTGCATCTTTAATTTCCATTTTTTGTTACACTGACCATTTTAGAATCAGTGCTCAGGACATGACTATCTGCTGAAGTTTGCTGGTTTTTCTTACAGTTCAAGCATGTATTTTGCTTACACAAACACTATAGTCAATCTCTATTCTGAACAAGATAGTAGACAATTCTGGTTAAATCACATATGCAAAGAATCTGCCAGTTAGTAAAGATATATCTGTTAACTTCCATTGTTTGATGTGACCACTGACTGCAGTCTTATGCTGCTTACATCATTTAAGGAGAAACTATGAGTGTATTTTGAAACCAACATAGTGCATAAAATCTGGGACCATAATATCCAATCATCTGGCTGCACCTGACTTCAGATTTCATTTGCATACTTTTGGATATTGTTGCATTATTAATTTTACTGGCACATTGTGAGACCCCCCAAGAGATACAATCTATAGATATAATCATCGTACATTTTAATTTTTTGTTTATATAATATCTTACAATAAGTATTATAAACAACTTTTATCCCAAGCTATTAATTCTCTTGCATGTGAGTATGTACGTGTCAATTATATCTTCATGATTAATAGGCCCAAATCTAAGATACAGTGAAAAAAAGCCAATCGTGCTACTGGATCGTTCATGGTAAATCAAAAATATCCTTCAAACTCCAAACACAACTGCACAGTTCTTATTTATTTGACAAAAGTAATATCAAAATTATTAACAAATTCATAATATTTTAATAAATAATACAACTGGATGCATAAGTGTCATTTATAAAGTGCATGTGACAGTATATCAAAACAATTGTGCATATAATAATACAAGCACCAAATTTGGTGCAAATGTAGAATAAAGTATTAGTAAAATAATTAGAAATCATACCTGTGACCACATGTGCAGTGATTTTAAAATGTGTGCATATTTCAACTTCTGGTTACACATTTGTACATGAGAAAGACATTGAATTATTATTATTAATAATAATCATTACTATAAAATTACATTTAAAGAACAATTCTTTGTATAAAGATGAATGAAGCAAATGCCATTTTTATTCAACCAAGTTACATTAATGGTACTGATATGTTTATGTATTGAGGCCTTATAGTTGCGTAATCAGCAGCATTTCTCTTCACACTAAGCTTTATAATACCAGTCAACATATGACTTCTCTTTGGTCAATGTTGTGTGCTACGTACCATCATCAATCTTGGATTGTCAGCTGCTATTTCTAGAACACTATCCTTCATAAGCAAAGAGCTGTGCATTGAAGGGCAGCTTTTTTTGCACTTGCATAGTTTGTGGCATCTTTGTTGCAGCCACACAAGACCAACTCATAACAGGTTTTAAAGACTTTAGGGAGTGTCATCCAGTAAGGCTAGCACAGTCCATTTCTATTTTTGGTCCATCACAGCTAGTTAGAGAAGAGAGCATAGGTTGTGGGAACAGTGTTTGACTCCAAACATGACCCCCTGGTAAGTTGTCCTCTTGATATGCTGTTCCTGAGCAGATTTCATTGGTGGAATACATTTCACAGTTATTCTTTACAAAGAGTTTCTTTCTGGCTTTGTACACATTGGTGCAAGTGCTTGTTCTACTTTATAATAGGATACTTAATCTCTCAATGACCTGCATGTAGCTTTCTAAATTCATTCCATAGAACCTTCATAGAATTACACAAAAAACCTGGAAATAACTGGTTCATTTTCAAATACCAACATTTATTTCATAAATTACTTTAAAATTAAACTCCAAAGGCATATAAAAAGTACATAGTACTTTTTGTTGCTCATAAATGCACACATTGGTGAAATATTAGTTTTAGATTAGTTGGCTTTTATCCAGACTTGAGCATATTGTAATATAATTTTTCTTCAGAAGATTGAGTATGATATTTCCTGTTCACAAGTTATTTATTTTACTGTAAAGTCATATGATATTACAAAAATACATACCTCCTTTTTGGTGCTCGAATGAAGGTTTCACAAAGTAAGTGGCCATCTTCAGTTTTGAAGTTTCGTATGGTATCATAGAGTTCCTGGCATATCTCTCCCTGTTCAAGACGTGTCAGATGAGTGGGCTTGTAAATGAATCAACAGAGCCCCATGACATGAAGGTCCTCTTATTCGAGGTTTACTTCTGCCTACCATGCTCAAGGGACCACATGACCATTGTTACCCATAACCAAAACAGAAGCTTTTTCATATACATGCTACCATGCAATAAACTCAATATATGAAGAAGAATTAACACAAAGAAAAGATTTGCTACCAGCATCTAGCAATTTTAACACAAGGATAACTGGTAAACTTCTGCTAAGGAAGATAGTTAAAAAAAAGTTATTGTAACAATGATTTGAAAATACAGCCACCAGTCTTTGATTAGTACACACTACAGTGTCCAGAAACAATGAAGGGCATTCATTTATTCCTTAAACATAACATTTAAAGTAAAAAAAAAGAAGTTAAAAAACAACAACTAAATCTAGTCTGGAAAGAGGAGGAAAAAAAAGAGTTATGTCATATAAACTCCATCATAGCAGAATCTTTTTCTAAACACATCACTTAAAAAAAATGTTTTAATATTTATATGTACAAGTTGCTACTCTGAAATTCCTTTTTAATTCACCAGTACTATATTCTAGTAAGTAAATTCATTATTTATTAATAAGTAGCATGGAGACAAAATAGACTGCCATTTTCCCTTTTTCATCACATTTATGTTCTTCAAAATAATTTTCATTAGAGTTAATACAGGAAGCAAACACAATGTATTGAAAGCGAGACATAAAACTAATATATGTTTGAAATAATGATTACTGAGAAACATTTTAACAAATCATTTCTTTGAGCCTAAGTGTTTTAGATGTTTAAGATCTTGTACAAAGAAATCACACCTATGGATTCTAGTACAATCTAATTTTTATTAGTATTAAATTCTGATACGAGCAAGTTACCTGTTTAAAGTGAAACTAAGATTCAACCTGGTATTGGTAATGACTATAGGTAAGTATCCATTTCTTACATTTCTATTCACAAAGATTAGAATGTATTGTTTCATCAGTTGGGTGCCCTCACTGTTAATATATCCAGTCATACTCACAGTAACAGCTCATGATGTTTGACCAGCTTAGGAGATTTAGGTTAGTCATAAGTATGTATATTAAGCTAACAATGCAAAACAATGTAAATAATGTTTATAATGAAAGTGTAATAAAATTAGACATTAAAAATTTCAACCAATACTATTAATGAAAGTAGCTACAAAGAATAGAGTATGTCTGAGGAATATCATTCAGCCCTCCACAGTGCCAAATTTCTCTCTCTCTACAGACATCCACATCTGTAGAGCTTTCATGTAAATCAAATTTCCCACAATTCTATTCTGATGTTGATGAGAACTCCATACGAATTTGAAATTGGGAGAACTCAAATTGATGCTGTATTTGAATAAATCAGTTTCTTCATTATGAAGTAATGAATCAATTTAACATCCACATATATATTATTCCACATTCTTCAAATATATTTATGCATCCATTGGCAATGTGTTTTAACAAAGATTATTTTTGTTGTAAGCAAATCAAACTTTTCTATTTCAAGTTTATAACATGTAAGTATATATGAAGTATCTATTAGGTATGAAGGCAAAGAGACATGTCAGTAATTCAAGTTTACAAAATGTTTTATGTTTAAAAATAGAATTACTTTTAAAACTAGAATACCAGTTGCTATAATCAACCCAAAACACAATCTGAATGAACAGATTTAAATCAATATAATTCTAAAACTGTAGCATAGGGTGACTTACAATTAATAAATGTCATTATAAAAATGAAATAAACCCTCTCTTTCCAATGAAATTATTAAAACAATCAACAGTAGTTTACTGGTAGTAGAATGCAGGTTTAAAATTTACCTATCAACTAATAAACTCTTAACACAAACAAAACACATAAGTAAATTATATACCTTGTAAAGTTTTTGCAAGAAGGCTTCAAGATCTTTAACAACAAAAACTTGCTTACATAAACATGCAGTCTCTTACTTTTCCAGCAGCAAAAGAAATATGAAACTATGACTGGAAAAAAGGCTGCTAATCAAGTTAACTGTTTTCTACTTTAGCTTGACACAGTGGTCCATAATTGTGAAAAAGTTTAAGAACTGTTGATCCAGATAATCAAGTTAACATTTTTTAAAATAGATTTTCTCATTTTTTGACAAATACTGTGATAAGGGAAATTCTGCAAAATATTAAAGATTACAAGACAAGATATGAAATAATTCATAACATACAATGAAAAATAAATAAAATTCATGAAAACTACTGCATGTTATAAATTAGTTCTTAAAGCATCTTCTTATATATTTTTTGTAAATTTAGGTTCACAGTACTTTAGGTCCTTTTATTTACATCAATTTTGTGAAGACATTTTCTTAGGACTTTTCAGGCTAGTATATAACAATATTAACTTAGATCTTTACAGAGAAGTAAAAATGTTACTCTTCAGTACTTACAACATCCACCTGAACCTTCCTTCTTTTGTTCGACCCTTCACCATCTTCTCTACTGTCTTCACTCCCATGAATCCTTTTTCGTTTTGGCATTCGTAGACTTGAAACATCATAATATATTGTTAGCAATTACACAAGTTTTCAGACATTCTAAAGAGCTGTTTAAGGTGCTCTAAACTTATAAATTAATAGTCTTTAATTAGTCTTGACATCTCGTAACTTAAATCTTATTCTGTTGGTTCATAACAAAAAAAACATTTAATTTTTGAGAGTAAAAATTTAAACACATGACCTCTCTGGGTCATCAAGGCTACCCTGAAATAAAATGTTTCCCTTTACCAGAGAAAATTGTGCAACTGAATTTTTTTCTACCATTTCAAAGTTTAATATGATTAAAGACAGCAGCTGTAACAAGCTTAACTGAGTCACCAACATATTAAATCTCGTAGTGAGTATTGTTGCATTGGCTCTATCATAACTGGCCATAGTGTCAGCATCATACAAAAATATCCACCTGTATGCTACACAACATAGCCCATTATTTTACTTTTTAAACTCTATAGTTCTTGAAAAATGTGAATGTTCAGAGAGACAGGGAGGTGCTTTTCCTAGTTATGTGTGCTGTATTTGCCTACACTTGATGAAAAATAATTTGAGTGAATTGTCTTCAACCAGCATCACATACTTAGTGTTACTAAATGAACTAACACAAATAATACAAAAGAAAACAACGAATGGAAACAGTAATATCATTTGATTAGTTATACCTGTACTTTTACTCTGAAGACAAAAAAAAATTAAACACACCAGTAAATGTTTTTCTACTCACTAAGACATTTACTTGTATGTAAGGTGAAACATTTCTTTTTATTAAAGATTGGCCAATATTATAATTTTCCTATGCTGAAAATGTATTTCTGATAGGTACTGCCTCCTCTCACATAAACAGCTATTCTCATTCAGTGTTGCCCTCTATAAACAAAATATTTTTTTGCATGCCACAAGCCTTGAGCTCCCACGTACCCTACTATTAACATGGTTCAACTTCATCTTGCATGTAAATCATCATGCGACACACTCTCCTGATGCATGTGACTCCCTCTATTCGATTCTACCAAACTATTACTTCGAATTTGTGCATAAAATGGAAGCACTGGTTTTAAGTGGGGAGGAAGGGTGGGAAGTATGAGAGAAGGTAAGCACCTATTGGAAATACATTTTTAGTATAGGAAAATTGTAAGTTCTGATACGGTACATTTCCTCTGTTCACATAAATAGCTAGAATCCCACATTGAATAGGTGGAGGAACCAGTGTGAAGGAAAGAAAGAAGCATTTTTCGAAAGTGTCTAAAGAACTTTCTACAAAGAGATCCTCGCATTAGAGGAAGATATGTGGAAGACTGCACCACTTCTGTGCCAGGTATACTTTTTGTCCAGTGTGGAAAGAAGTGGTGCAGACATGGGCAGAAAATGAGAAAAGCATATCCAAAAGGAAGAGAACAATGGTTGGATAGAGATCTGAACCACCCGATTCTGAATCTCAATTCCTTAGATGATCATAATGTGGGTGAGAATAAAAAAGGATGCTCCCCAAGGTGTAGAGTGGCTAGGGCGAGATGGACCGCACACAGCAAGTCAACTGCATCCAAAACCCAACCACTAGAAACTGACATCCATGCAGGGATAGGATGAGGATCAGACCATCAGAAAGTCAACTACAATCCAAAACCCAGCCACTGAGAACTGACATCGACGTGGGGGTAGGAGAGAGGATCATACCAGTAGCAAGTCAACTGCAATCCAAAACTCAGCCTTTAGGTGGGTGTAGGAAAGAGGATCATACCATCTTTACCTCAAGTTTAGCAGACCAGAGGGATATATCATACCCACCTATCTATGAACAGGGAACATGATAGCAAAGTGAAAAAATTAAAGATGTTGCTATATAGTGAAATAGCCCACTCAAATCAATCAAACAGGAACCACCCTCAGCACATTAACGTCCTCACTATATTATAATCCTCAAGGGATGGTACAAGAGGAAGAACCATAGTAACCTGCAAGTTCCTCTGCCGTTACCCACAACATGGTTGTAGTAAACAAGAGTCCAATTGAGCGAGGGAACATAGACACCTGTCAAAGCTGGATCAATCAACATCAATCCTCACACACATATTAATCCAAAACCCAGCCACTGGGAACCAATATCCATGTGGGGGTAGGATGAGGGATCCCAAGCAAAGGGATGAACTGCAATTTTGGCAGCTCACTCCAAAGCCACAAGCTCCCCTCATATAAACTCATTCAGAAGTGGAGCATCAGATTGGAGGACATTTTGTCATCTACACCTACAAAATACCACCACTCTACTTTCAACTGAATGGATTAATTTTGTATTGTATATCACTATCACATTCAAGAGAAATGCCTCCATGGTCCACCACCCCATGGGCTTGAAACTGGAAAGTGGTAAGGACTTCCATACTCCAATGGAAAAAAAAGGGAGAAAATGCAGTGGAGAGTTGAGAGAAACATCAACATTGGAAACAGTGCAATGAATGACCACAAAAGCCCTATTTTGAAAAGCAGACCACACCTAATTTATTCAATCTAATGAATGGGATGGATGGGCAGTTATCCCCTTCTGAAGTTCATGGGTGAGTATGGTTTAGAAGGAAGCCTTGTGGGTAATATAACAACGAAGAGCATGTATGGGACATAGTCTATCTGGGTCAGACTGAGGATATAGGTGGGAAAGGGAAGGAAGGGAAATCAGCAAGGAGGAAGAGTTACCCTCAAGAGCTGCCAATGTTTTCAATCGATCCAGATAAAGGAGAATGTCCATGGAATAATATAGGGTACATGAAAATCAATGGCAAATAAATCTGACTGATGATATCCACAGGCCAATGGGAGAAGGAAATAAGTCTCAAGAGATAAGTGAAAAATCAAACACTAGGACAGAGGCTCAAACACAGGCAAAGTAAGACAAATGAAGATCCACACTGACATTCCAATCTGGAAGGACTGCATGCCAAGGAAAACCACAAATCTGGAAGAAACACAACAATATGGAGAGGTAAAAACTTAATAGTACCAGAAAAATGAAAAGTGTGGGATAGGGCAGCCAGGTAACACATGATCAAGGAGACTGAAGACCTCTGATCAAACAGTCAAGTGAAGAAATCCATAAGAAGAAAAACAGTGAGTCAAGCAGAAAACTTCCAACCCAAAGACCAATGGCAGAAGATGTTCCACTAATGTTGATAAATGTTCATAGAGGAAGGGCGAATGAACAAGCTGAAAACAAAGTGACTCTTCGAAACTATCCAGATCTCCTTGCTATGGACTGGAAATAAACCAGGTGTGAAGATGGAAGTTATAAAGGGCTGGATGAAATGCTGGTGAGCAAGGTTAACGTAGAAAGGTTGGAGTAGAGGAAGAGGTAATGGTGGGGCAGATTGGAGCTGGACCAGCCACTGAAATCACGGTTGTGACAGTCAGTAAGGATCAATCAAAAAGACTTCACACAGAGTGGCATGGATGATCGAAATCACCCTGGGAAGAAAATGGATGGAAGGAAACACATAAAGGTATATGTTGATCCAATCCCGACTAAACACGTCGACTGCCAGTGCAAGTGGATGAGGAACCAGAGACCATAACAGAAGTAACTTGGTACAGAGTAAAGTGGCAAATGCATCCAGGTGAAGAGTACCCTAATGAAGGCATAGCTACTAGAAAACAAGGAGGAGAAAGATGATCCATGAACAGATTGAATGCACCCAGAACATGGCACGCAAAGAGATGAATACCAAGCATATGGGTCCAACGAAAAAAAGAGATCCAAGGTTCAACCACAAAGGGAACGAGAATGGGTGCCACCTCCGAAGAATTGTCAGAATGTATCATGATCAGACAATTCCTGACAAGGTGAAGAAAATGATCTAAAGCATGATGTATGGCCAGAAACTCCAGGACATTGACATGGTAAGATTGTTTGGCTGGAGACCAGGGATCTGAAGCTTCCTGTTGATTGAACCATGCCCCCTAACCCTGGAGAGAAGCATCTGTGAAGATATGCAAATCTGAATGAGGGGAAGGAAGCGGAACAACTGCCAACATGTTTGTCTTTTGCAACTGTCAGTGATCTGTATTGGTAAGGGAAATAGGAACCTCTAATGGATCTCACACAAGGTTCCACTGGTTATGCAGAGCCCGCCGAAGAGACCACATATGTGCTCGAACCAAGAGGATAATGGCTTCCATAGAAGACTACATCCCCAAAAGCAATAGAACCTCATGACCAGTAATAAAGGTAGCAGTAAGGGCATGGAGAACTGAAAACTCCATCGATTGGAGTTGAAGAGAAGAAGATTGGACCCGACTGAGGTGAGTGTTGAAAAAGACACACAAGTGGACAAGATATTGGGTAGGTATAAGGAATGACTTCTCCAACTTTATTAACCAATCCACAAAAGCCGCTTTTAGGAGCAGCAGACAAGTGTGATGGGCAGACTCCCATTCAGAACAAGCAAACAGAAGGCAGTTGTCCATGTAATTGTGTAAGTGCAACCCCCAAGCCTACATATGTCGAGCAAAAGCCTTGACCACTCAACAAAAGACATATGGGGCCAAAGCAAGACCAAAAGGCAGGGCATAAAATTGATAAACTATCCCATGATGAACAAATTGAAGATAGCACCTTGACAGACAAGATATTGGAATATGCAGATCAGCATTTGTGACATCTACCTTGGTCATCCGTAAACCTGGAGAAAAAGCCCACTTGAGGGTGAAAAAGACTCCATGGTAAATTGAAGCAGAACAAAAATTTGATTGAGGTGGGTAAAATCCATCACAGGCTGCCAGTCCCTAGTTTTCTTGCGTACCACAAACAGCCTGGAATAAATGCCTGGAGAAGGATGAGTTACATGTTCAATGGCTTTTTTGGGAGAGAAGATTTTGTACTGCCTTGGACAGAAGTTGACTAGTGGTAGGATCCTGAGGCAATGGAAAGGATATGGGTACCTGAGACAATGAAGGAAGGGAATGAAGTGGGTGACAAGTCCCTCGGGTAATACCCAAATAACCCCTAGA